AACTTTGACTCACTTTTAGAATGAGAATGTTTGTAGGTTGCTGCAGGTGGTTTGGTTATGCCTGCAAGATAACTGAACTGTGCACACTTTGTTGATGTTTCTGTGTCTGTTGTTCTCTCCAGGATTCCTCTACAGAAGTTTCGCTCCATCAGACGGACACTGAGTGACTCCGGCAGAGCTGTAGAGGAGCTTGTGGCCAGTTCTGCATCCTTGAAATACAACCTGGGCTTCCCAGCAAGTAATGGTCCTACTCCAGAAACCCTGAAGAACTACCTTGATGTGAGTACTGGTTGTAAATGTCATTTCCTGTGTAGGGTGACCGTGGTTTGTAATCCACATTAATCTTGCACACTGAATTGCAGTAAATGGCGCCTAATCATTTACCAAACATCACTGGTTGGCCAGTTTATTCTTTTTCTCAGACGATCTCTAATTTGAGCATGGTAGTATAGTAAATCAGTTAAGTGGCACGTAAATGTCTGTGCTCTTTTAGACCGCAGAGGTTACACAAAGCTGTACATCCAGGAAGTTGCAAAAAGGAGGACAAGCAGTTGTTATAGTTTAACCTACAATCCTTTTGCTTAATCATGTCATGTGATTAATAAATTCCACTATGTCGGCAAGTTGAAATGTGACTGACAGTAGGAAAAAGTGAACTTGAAACCTGTTCTGTTGTTATTCAGCAAAAAAACCCGGTGCTTGTCTGTTTCCTGTCATAAGCTGTAATGGACAGCATGATGGTGTGTTTGACTGTGTCAGACAGCTGGTCATGAGATTGTTTGTCATGCTTCTGAAACAACAGGCCACAACAATCCTCTTTGGCAATAAGCAGCTGATATTATTGCCAGTCATAATTTTGTAAACAAGCTTAGGTAATTGAAGCAAGTTCTTTGGGCTGAAAGATCTCATACATTTTTGCATGATATACATTATGATTAAAGAAAAGGATTTTAATTAATTAAAATGAATCTTTTGAAGTCAATTAATGTTACATTTGTTGCCGTTAGTTTGTTTTCTTAAAGGTCATTATAAATTGGAATATCAGTAACGCCGTA